CGTATTACGTGCGTTGTAGACGTCGCATGGGACCCATATCGAACACGACGCGAGCGACGATTGTTGTACGTTAATCTAGAGAAATAATTATTCAACTACCGGGGCTGAGTAACCAGCTTTATGTGGTTAACTATACCGTTTCACTTATGATTTACATGGGGTTATCCCCCATTCCGTTGTGATGTTGAATGTCGTCACAAATTCGCCGTTGTCTGGACCTCAAGAATTACCTTCGGGATAACATTCATTCCAATAGCTACACATAACACGATAGTTTCAATTCAATTTTCATCTACAACACGTGACACTATTAATAGCATATGATGTCACTTCTTGGGTTGTCATTTTAAATGAATTATGGACTTGTTATTATGATTCAAAATTTTTCGTTCACTCCGGATCTGCGATATCTCTGGGTTTCAAATAACTCTTAACATGGAGTAGCATCTCTTAGTACTCAGCCGACCAATATGACTTATCAGTCAACATTGACTCCACGGTTCCTGGTGTCGAGGGACTATGACTGACTCAAACCGTTTGAATACAATCTGATGACAGTGCATAAGTTTGTAAATGAATGGATACAAAGTATTTGAGGTATTCTAACCACAATAATTAGTTTACCCCAGAAACGCTGCAACAACAGCTACAAGAACAACGACGAGGAGAACAGACATTTTTTTCTTTTCGTCTATGATTCTGGCAAGGTACCCGAGGAATTACAAGTTATACAGCATCAGTTGACTACTTAACAACAAGCCGTTGTCAGGGACTCAACAACGAATAACATTTTCACATACATATAGCAAATTTAATTTTAGAATTTATCCAGAAATGTAAATATCTGGGCATATAGTTTGACCAGGAAATTAAAATCGACACCAATAAAAAATAAAATGTGTTGCAAAATATATGTAGTTCGTTTGCAGGGTTGAGAAGACTTTGACCTTTTACCTCAAATGTGTTTCAAACCTGCTTTTTAATTCTATAGTGACATATGTATAAGTCAATTATTTAAAAAAAATGCCCGTTTCATAAAAAAATGCCTATACAATTAGAGATCAAAACGGAAAGTAAATTGTTATTTCCTTTAACTCGGGAATGCCAACTCAGCATTTGACCTTATAGAGTAGTTATCAAGTTTAATTGTATTACTAGTATTATATGTGTACGCCACTGTGCGTCTACCAGACTGATGCCTTCGTTTTTAACAGCCATTATTAAGCGTAAGCTGCATGATGAAACACAACATAACGTTTGATGATGTAGAATTGAGAATGAATTGAATTGTGCCTTACATAACTGTAACAACGTCACATTGTAGTTTACAGCCCGTATTTTATCAGATGATACTATATTTAGCCTTGACCTTCTCGTCTGGGGGCGCTTCTTCGACGCGTTACGAAGGTCATTGAGCGTGCGCATTAGTAATTTTTGTTCATATTTCAGGAAAACAACTCGTATCAAAATAAGACGATCGATTTGAAAGTGAAATTGTGAGAATTTGCGAATCAATCTGGATTGAGGAGATAACCGAATCATCACTTTGGTATTGTTGTGTGTTTGTGGCCATTACAAAGCCTGTTGATTGTTTAAAAACACTCTGTCCGGTGCCTCCAAAGGAAAGGTGTAAGCCGGATAGTGTTGCTGTTGTCCCCACTGCCACTGAGCATGGCCGCTGCATTTAACATGGAAGACCTCGATGGCGGGCTAGCTGCAGACTTTGACTCAAATCTAACTGGATTGGGTGCTGAGCTTGGAACAGCAGCTTATAACATGAGGTAATACATGTTTGTCTTTCGATAACATCCTGCCCCTTATCCCGAGGGACTGTTACCAACCGTTAAGTTACTGTGTGCACACACAAACTAGTGTGGACCGACAGGCCTTTACGACACAGAGTTTTATATGTTATGGTAATTTGCTACAATTAAAAAATAATACACAGAAATCCTCGAAATCCAGAATGAGAGTTTGGGTTACTGTAATGTTCAAAATTCTGAAATATGGTCACCGAACTGAGTTTTCCTCAAAACGACCTCAAAAATTCGTTTTTTGAATTGTTTGCAATTGGCTATGGCAGAAACATTCCATCCTATCTCAAAATTTTATTACGTGACCTATGCTAACAAGTTATTATGTAGTGTTATGAGGGCTACAAATGACTGTCATGAAAAAATGAAGGATTTTGAATATTAGTATAAATTATCCATGGAATAATGTTTACATGGAATTCTATGAAAATGTTCTGAAATGGCCCCTTATTAGATTATTTTCTTGGAAACACACTTCTTTCCCTGTAAAAACATTAAGCATGAATGACGTGCATGTATGTGAATCATCCCACAACAATTTTTGAATGATTTACTGTGATGTTTTAATGGTAGTAAACTACCTTAAGGTACAGTCATGTGCTGCGACTTATATTAACATTAGGAATACCTGATTGAAGTGAAACTTCAAAATCAATGTATGAAAAAAAGTAAATTACGTACTTTCATTGGAAGAATTACTATATTTCTGTGAATTTGCCTTTAATTCTCTGATTTGAGTTAATATTTTTGTTATTTTGGGTGTACCAGATTATGTACATTAGTTATCCCAGTAATAATTCGCACACTTGTAAAAAGAAAAGTTTTACGATTACAAGCTTTTGCGGTATTTAGTGCATAGCATTTGCAAGACTTTCTCACTTTGTCAGATATTTGGTGTCACATATCACTTTGGAAGAAGTCAGAAGGCTGTAAATAATCAACTGTGCCAGGAAGGAGACATGGCTACAACTTGGAATGTTTTTCAATTTTACTTAATTATTTCAATTTCAATCTTTTTCAATTTTACTTTAAAAAAATGTGTTTTTTTCACAAATGTTCATTTCAGGGCAACAGAAACCATAGGCACTTTAAGTCTAATCAAAATTTACTTTATTTTAAAGGAAAGTTGTTAAAAAAAAAAATGTTTATATATCTCATAAAGAATTTATCAGATTAGAATATGCAATGAAGTTCTAATGAGAAGTCATATAAATTGCGGATGATCACTAAATCACAATGCAAACATACATTTTAGTGTCGCCCCGGATGCCAATGTTGAATGTTACATTTAAAACATTATGTGACTTATTTGACTTAACAATAATTTGTATTGTGTTCTTGACAATTCTAATATAGCATTACCGTGGATTGTACACACTATAACTTCATTAATTTAACTTGCAGTGAAGTATTGGCTGTGTTTAAACAAGAAGAAGAAGAAGAAGGAGGGTGAGTTAATGTCAGAAGATTCTGTAAATTATGCATGTGTACACTGTACTGTTGATGTATGGTATATAACTTCTGTATTTATCAATTCTCTCGTATTCATGTAATCTAATATATCATAACCAATCTAGACTTAATGGTTACTAGCTTATACTAAAATATTTTTGGATATTTAGAGTAGTATCAAATTCTCATTTCCGGTCTGGTTAGACTTAAAACATACCACAAATATTTACTTTTTTAGGGATATAATTTTTGGTATGTGTTGGTTCTTGGATATTTCAGCTTCATCGTTGTGTACTTCGTTTAGTAATTTTGACTTCCCAGGTTGCGTAAAAATGGATAGTTTCGCCATTTTGACACAGAAAATGCCTGAGCTAAATTATTTGCTGAGGGATGGTCGCTTGGGTATGTGCGCTCTAACTTGCAGCACATGCACCTAAAAGCATTAGGCAATCAAACAAAATATGACTTTGTACTAAAGTACTTTCATAACATTATGAATCCCCTCAAAAGCAAGTAATTTCTATTCCCCTCAAAGGTAAACAATGGTTTAGTTCCCTACTTTACGCTATGACTCAAAACTGTTTTCTTTATTGCTTCACGTGTATATTTGCCTTCAATTACATGTTGGTGGTCGTCACTGCCGTACCTGGAATCTTGCCGAAAACAGTTTGGTTCCAATTTACATACAAATGTAGCTATCGCTGAGAATTTTTTTTTTTCATAATTTCTAGTAGCTTGGCGGTAAGTGGGTTTCGCGGTAAGTGGGTTTCGTATTGGGTGGTTCTTGCGGGGAGTAGGGCTTTGTCGCAGTAACTGGTCCTTTCATCGTTGTTGAGAATTAAAGTTTTATGTTTCTTTAACAACTTGCACTATTCTGGGAATACCGTCCTTAGAACTATTAATTTGCCTTTATGATTTGTGCAGTTGCTCTGGCAGGAGTTCCAAAATAAGACCCATGCTCTGATAATGCCCATAGTTTCAAAGACCAAGAAACATTATCATTATGATCTTATTGGTGTTGCAAAAGATAGTTAAATATTGTTTATTAAAATTAATAATCCCCATAACCGTTTTCCAATATAGATAAATTATAGTACATAACAAAGAAATGTATATATATATATTTACATTATTACTAATGCATTGCAATACAACTAATTAAATTGAAAGAAATTGCAATATAAAATATTCATCAGTAATACTTCTCAAGGGCGTATTTCATGGTCAGTGTTATTTACGAAAATATTTGTTTATAATTTTATAAATTGGCTTGGCAATTCCCACTCCAATTTGAAATAAGTGTACATATTTTAATTAATAAATAAAATAAAAGATACACTAACAAAAATAAAATATTAATTATTGGCGATCCGCTCTGCTAGGATTGCCCCTATAATCACTTTTGTTGCCGATCCGCTCCGCTAGGATTGTCCTTAAAATCACTTTTGTAGTTTTGTGTGTGTGTGTGTGTGTGATTTCCAGTGTTTTCACGTATTATTTCTTCTGTGATTTTTTTGGCTTGGCCGATTTCGCTCAAACTTGGCAGGTAGGTCACAGGCAAATGTATCTCCTCCTACAGTACTGATATTGATAGTGCATGTGCCTTGGGTTGTCCTCTATCAGTTTTGTTAATTTGGTAAGGAAATTTTGAATTTCCTAATTTTGGCCAATATTTTAAAATGGTCATTTTGGTCAAAAATGCTATTTTCAACTTCTTCTCTGAAATTAAATGGTGTCTATCAGATTTGTTCATTTTGTGTTGACATCTTCAATTCTCTATTTTTAGCAAATATTTTGTCTTTTTTCATCAAAAATAGTACTTTTGACTTGTTCTTCAAAACCAGTAGTCCAAATTATTTGATACTAGGTACACATGTAGCTTGGATGACACTTCACCCAGTCACTAAAAGTTGTCAAATTTATCAAAAATTTCAGAAGTTCATGATTTTTTTTTTATTACCTTCTCCTTAATTAATGAACAACATGCTCACAGGAAGATATGTAATGTTTCCCATTTGTTCTGTCAACTGTTCTCTCATTCTGACATAGCACATGGGAGTTCTAAGTTTTCTTTGATTGGTCTATTGTGATTGTAATGAAAACATAACCACTCAACATATTTAAATGTGTATAGACATGATTGATTTTTGTGGAAAATTATGCAAATTGCCTAATTTACATACATGTACCAATATTTAGGCTATTTTAGTGATACATGTATCTTGAGAACCATTTAATATGTTTTAATAAAACTTGGTGCATAGATGTGTTGGGGCAGTTTCCAGATATATTTAGTTTTTGGTGGAACATATCAGCTAGTGAAATTCAAGCTATTTGGGTGATATTTCAAGAACCATTCAACATATTTCAACAAAACTTGGTATACTATATACATGTATTACGAATTCAGATAATTAAATATCGTGTTATGTTATTTTCTCAACACGCTGGAGTTCTTTTTTAGCTCTCTTTGATTCTAATTTTATTGAATATTTCTGTTATTTTTGTAAAAAATTCCACTTTTAGCATTATGTTTTATTGTCTCACTCACTGGGGTATTTGTCATATACAGCACTAATCTTTTGTACAATAGCCGTTGAGCAACAGGCCATTGGCCTATTTTTTGATATCTTACACTGTATCAACGTAATCCCAACGCAACTTTGAACTTTGAATGAACTGTAAATCTGCCTTCATTCTAGAAAATACTATCGCAAAACGGTTGGAAATAATAAATGTAACAGCAGAATACGTTCTATTAATAAACTAAGTGACTTCTAAAGACTGAATGATTTTTGCAAACTTCGTATACAGGGCCCATTTAGTTATAAACTGACGTTAGCTTCACATTCATGTCCTACCATGGAAACAGCCAAAAACATGTTGCTTGTTTTTTGAGCGGAGCGGATCGTCAACCAGCCTACCAGCTTGTATTGACTATGTCCTGGACTGTTTACTAGTATTTATTTACTTGTCAGTGTCTGACTGTTATATACAGCCCAGAACATGTCAGAATAGTAAAAAAAAAAGGAAATGTCAGTTGCCCGTGCCTTGAGAGCCGTTGAATCCAAAACAATCTGTCACTCTTCGCTCCCACAGCAAATATGATTTTATATTGCATAGAAAAGAACACTAAATGCAGCTATCCCGGTCAGCAATCGAATCAACAATCTTCATGATTTATGCAATTGGTATTTCCATCTATTTGCTTAAAATTGTCAAGTTTGAGAGTGTGTTTTTACGTACAGTGACGCGAACATTCAACAACGTGTTGAACAGGAAGTCCATCTTGGGCTAGTGGCATTGTCAAAATTTAGAGAGTGCAGGAAATGTTTCAGTAAGGAATTGTTATGCATATCAAAATCCTTTATTGGAACAGAACATGTTATAGATTCACCAAAAACAACGTTGCCA